ATTTCGATGACTCATCTCGTATAGATTTTATCGACACTAATCGATAATTTGATATCGTTTTTAATGAGTAATTTGAGTGCTTTTCAACCTAGAGTCTTTAGATTCATTTTCATATTAATTTGAAGACTTCTCTCTACCGCACAACTTCGAAAAATAAGAGAAAAGATAGCTAGCATAAGAGGATCTCCTATTCGAGCAGTTTCGTCTAGAGCACGCTTCTTCTTTTTTATAATTCAAATTAGTGCAAACATTTGCTGCTGATATCCATCTGCTTTGTAATTATTTATTATTTGTATTTTAAATATATAACTTCGTATTGTTTCTTTCTATTTCCTATCATCGTATAGTTCGTCAAACTGCATTAGCTAACAGCTATTGGGTCAGTTCCATCACCAATCTGGTTATTTCGTATGCCATTAACCTATTGTATTGGCTAACTGTTTTTCCGTACGAAAAAACCGGAAACAGGCCCCTCAAAGTGAATACGTTCTTCAATATATGGTCGCATGTATTGCCCTCGTTGGTGAACACAATTGATCATATGGTTGTTGCACATCCAACTCGTGTGTTCCATTTCATTTATCCGCTTATTTTCGGTATGTTCTATGTGCTGTTTACAATAACCTTTTATTGCGTCGGTGGCACGGATCCGTAAGCATTGCGTATTTAATATTTATTGAAAATATGATTATTTTCAATCAAAAACTTTTGCAGCCTTGGCAGACGGTTTATCTATAAAGTCTTGGACTTCAGCACTAAGCCCTTGCAAGGGATCGTCACTGTTTGTATGATAATATGTATCCTGATGTCCTGTACGATCCTGCAATACTTCTTTTATAGAATGCGGGTCGGTATTGCTCGTAAGATGAAAAGATTGCAGTAGTCCAACTATCTGATGAGACAAGTGAATAAATTTACCAGTATCAATAAATATATTTGTTGTTTTAATTGCATTTGAATTCTTTCAGTTCGAAGAGCTCTCAATATGTCTCTTCCATATTGTTTATGTGGCTGGCACGTGCTTTGCATGTCCTTCAAATGAAAACCGAATTCCAAACGTCCCCCACATTCGTATCTATATAGCACGATTTTCCCCGTTTCACCCTCCATTATGCAAAGCAAATTGTTGTGCTCCAGTCTGCTCTCGTTTGCTGCTGTGTATCACAATTTGTTTGCTTTTATTTTCAGTTTAGCTTTTCTCTGACTTTGTAATATGTTTTGGTAATTTTGTGACTTTTTTTAAGTTCAATATTTGAATTGAGTCACGAATTCAAAGCAAACTTAATTATATTTGCATATACAACAGAAATGTCAAGATCAAGTTGAATATTGAATTGAATTTGAATAACATTTGTTGAGAGGGAATTCAGCTTGGATATATATAATATAATAATAAGTTAATATACATCATGCGTAAATAAATCAAATATAGACTTTTATCTTAGACATAGAAGCTTAACTATATAATTTCAATTGCATCTATATAATTGCTTCAGCGTGAATGCTTTCAAAATCAATTAACATGAATATCCACCTATGATTATCTATCTATCTAACTATCTGCCTAGCTATCTCTATCTATAGTTTGCCATCTAGTTTATCGTAACCATCTTCCTTATTTTGTTTGTTAGCTTATGTATTTATTTTATGAAGCTCAAATATCTTGTGTATAATCTGTTTGTATATACCTCAGCCAAAATACATATAAATATATCTTCTTTATTTTTTTTTATTTTATTTATTTTTTATTAATCCGTTTTTTAGCTCATTATATAATTAATCCTCAATTACAGAGGCAAGCGCTACAAGTGCCTCTCAGGCTGACATAATATTGAGGTTCGTGTAAATGACATTATTGAAAAATTGATGCCACCCACCACAAGCAGGCAGAGTTTGTCAGAGTTGCTAAAGTTGCCAGAGGGAGATAGCGATAGAGGAGAAGAGA